CAAGACTGTGAGAGGGGGCAGGCTGGGCTGAGGGATCCCCCACTCCAGTGCATGAATTTTCATGCACCAGACCTCTAGTGTCTTAATAAAAACAAAGCATTATAGTATGATACAGAATGATTTCACTGCCCTAAAAATCCTCGGTCCTCCACCTGTTCTTCAGTTTCTTCCCTCTATCTCTTGGAACCACTGATATTTTTACTATCTCTCTAGTTTTGCCTTTTCCATAATGTCATATATTGGAGTCCTACAGTACATAGCATTTTCAGATTGCAATATATATTTAAGGTTCCTTCATGTCCTTTCATGGTTCAATAGCTCATTTCTTTTTAACATTTATTATTATATGATGATGCTACATTCTGTTGTTTGACGATACCACAGTTTATTCATTCACATACTAAACTATATCTTGGTTGCTTCCAAGTTTTGGCAATTATGAATAAAGCTGCTATAAGCATCCGTGTGTGGGTTTTTGTGTGGACATAAGTTTTCAACTCCTTTGGATAAATGCTAAGAATGTGATTGCTGGATCGTATGGTAAGAGTATCATATATTTAGTTTTGGAAGAAACTGCCAAACTCTCTCAGAGTGGCCATATCATTTTGCATTCCCACTAGTCATGAATGAGAGTTCTTGGATTTTGGCCATTTTAGTAAATGCGTAGTATCTTGTTGTTGCTTTAATTTACTATTCCTTTTTGACATGATATGGGGCACCTTTTTATAGATGTACTTATTTGCCATCTGTATATCTTGTTTCATGAGGTCCTTAAGTCAGTTGTGTTTGTTAAGGTCCTTGGCCTATTTTGAAAATTGGATTGTTTTTGTCCTCATTGTTGAGTTTTACGAGTTCTTTGTATATCAGATGCAACTTTCACAGATGTTTTCTTTGATACTGTGCCTTGTCTCTCATTCTCTTCACAGAGCAGATGTTTTTAATTTTAATGAAGTCCAGTTTATCCATTCTTTATTCCGTGGATCATGCCTGTGGTGTTATATCTAAAAGTCACCACCAAGCCCAGGATCATCTAGGTTTTCTCCTTTGCCTCCTAAAAGTGTTAGTTTTGTGTGATCCGTTTTGAGTTAATTTTATGGAAGGTATAAGGGCTGTCTCTAGAATCATTTTTTAAATTTTATTTTTTGCATTTGGGTGTCCTGTTGGTTTAGCATCACTTTTTGAAAAGACTGAACCACGTCCAGCATGGCCAAGGGTGAACCTGAGGAGGGTGGTGAAGGATTAAAGAAGACAGACAAGAGAATACATTTGGGGCCAGGTGGATCACTGCCTGGCTAAGGAAACAGTGACACAGTGTGTAAGCCGAATCTTTATTTTATAGTCAGATTACCCAAAGCAAAGTGGTCAACATGTTTACAATGTTCTCGCCAGTTTCAAATCTATTTAGTTACTCAAGCCTTGTTTTGGCAGCACTTGCTGAACCCCCCACAGCTCATTAGCTACCTAGGAACAAGGGAGGACTATAAGGTCACGCTTAATTATGCTAGGAAGGCTTTGCCATCCAAGCTGGGACTTGTATGTGGCTCTGCTACAGGTCAGTCTGAGGCTTGACCCTTTAACCACTCCCTACTAAAGTCTGTCTTTTTCTCCATATTATTATTGCCTTTGCTCCTTTGTCAAAGATCAGTTGACTATATGTATCTGAGTCTATTTCTGAGCTCTCTATTCTGTTCCTCTTATCCATTTGTTTACTTTTTTTGCCATCACACGTTATCTTGATTTTACTGTAGCTTTATAGTAAGAATTGAAGTTGGGTAGTACCAGTCTTCTAACTTGGGCCTTCTACAATATTGTGTTGGCTATTCTGGGTCTTTTGCCTCTCCATATAAACTTTAGAATCAGTTTGTCGATATCAACAAAAATACTTGCTGGGATTTTAACTTGGGATTGTGTTGAATCTATGGATCAATTTGGGAAGTACTGACTTCCTGACAATATTGAGTCTCCCTACCCATTAACATGGAATATCTCTCCATTTCTTTAGTTTGTCTTTGATTTTGTTCATCAGAGTTTTGTAGTTTTCCTTATCTAGATCTTGTATATATTTTGTTAGATTTATTCCTAACTATTGCTTTTTTTAAAATAATATATTTTATTGAATTTTTACAGAGAGGAAGGAAGAGGGATAGAGAGCTAGAAACGTCGATGAGAGAATCTTTGACCAGCTGCATCCTGTACACCCCCTACCGGGGATGTGCCCATAACCAAGGTACATACCCTTGACCGGAATTGAACCCGGGACCTTTCAGTCTGCAGGCTGACGCTCTATCCACTGAGCCAAACCGGTTTCGGCTATTCCCAACTATTTCATCAGGGGAGGTACTAATGTAAATGATTTTGTGCATTAAATTTCAAATTTCACTTGTTCAGTGCTGGTTTATAAGAAAATAGTTGACTTTTGTCTGTCAACTTTGTATTCTGCAACCTTGCTATGATTGCTTATTAGTTCCAAGAGTAGTAGTAGTTATTGTTGTTGTTGTTGTTGTGTGTGTTTTGTCAGCTCTTTCAGATTTTCTACATAGGTGATCATGTCATCTGAAAAACAGTTTTATTGCTTCCTTCCCTATTAGTATGCCTTTTATTTCCTTTTGCTGTTTGATTGCGTTAGCTAGGACTTCTAGTACCATATTGAAAAGGACTGGTGAGAGGCGACATCCTGGCCTTGTTCTTGATCTTACCGGGGAAGCTTCTAGTTTCTTTGTCATCATGAGATCTTATCAGTAGGTTTTTTTGGTATATAATTATTTATCAAGTTTAGAAAGTTCTTCTCCTGGTTTACTGAGATTTTAAAAATCATGACTGTGTATTAGATGGTGTCAAATGCTTTTTCTGCATCTACTGATATGACCATATAATTTTATTCTTTGGCCTGTGATGGATTATATTAATTTATTATCAAATGTTGAACCAGCCTTGCATACCTGTGATAAATCCCACTTGGTTGTGGTGTATAATTCTTTTTATACATTGCTAGATTCAATTGCTAATATTTTGTTGAGGATTTTTATATCTATATGTTCATGAAAGATATTGATCTGTAGTTTCCTTTATATATTTTTGGCATTAGTGTAATGTTGACCTCATAGAATGAATTGGGAAGTATTCCTTCTGCTTCTATTTTCTGAAAAATTGTAGAGAATTGGTTTAATTTCTCCTTAAGTGTTTATTAGAATTCACCAGTGAACCCATCTGGGTCTGGCGCTTTCTGTTTTCAAAGATTATTAATAATTCAATTTCTTGAATATATCATTTTTTTTAAATAAATATATATTATTGATTTTTTACAGAGAGGAAGGGAGAGGGATTGAGGGCTAGAAACATTGATGAGAGAGAAACATCAATCAGCTGTCCCTGACCGGAATCAAACCTGGGACCCTTCAGTCCGCAGGCTGACTCTCTATCCACAGAGCCAAACCAGTTAGGGCCTTGAATATATCTAGACCTGTTTAAATTGTCAATTTCTTCTTGTGTGAGTTTTGGCATATTGTGTCTTTCAAGAAATTTACCCATCTCATCCAGATTATCACATATGTGGGCAACTAGAGTTGCTCAAGTATTCTTTATTTGACAGTAAGTTGCAGTTTTTGACATTTTCTTATAAATATCCCAGCTTGCATCTCCTAAAAATAAAAATATTATCCTACAGAGTCATGGACCATTATCACACTAGGAAAACTAACTGAAATTTTTTGTATCAATATTTAATTATGAACTTACTAATCACCAGGGGAAAGAATATCTTGAGGGTTAACACAACCAAAAGACCAAATTCAGCATGATCATTGTGGTAGTCGGACATTCTACACCTTGTGATATGATGCAACAAGAAATACTAATCATTTACAGTGTCTGTGTTAAAAATGTAAACCTGAATCTAATCATGAGGAAATAATCAAATATAAGCCAGCTGTCCTAACCGCTGAAAAAAAAGTTAGAGACACGAGGAAAAATGGAAGAGGCGGGCTGTTCCTAGCGAAAAGAGGCCAAAGAGACAAAAGATTTGTCCGTGGTTAGCCGTGACCACAGGGATCTATGTTTCCTCAGAGGTGTGGTGACCTGCCTTCTACTCTTTTTTTTTTTTTTTTTTTAAGGTAACAGCCCCCACCCCCTTTCTAATTTAGTTAGTTATTATTGAGGTATAATTGACATATAACATTATATTTCAGTTATACAGTGTGATGATTTCATATTATATATTGCAAAATGATCATCACAATAAGTCTAATTAACATCTGTCACCACACATAGTTATACCGTGTTTCCCCGAAAATAAGACATCCTCTGAAAATAAGACCTAGCACATGGAAAGATAAGACCTCCCCTGAAAATAAGACCTAGCGCAACTTTGGGAGAAAAAAATTAATATAAGACACTGTCTTATTTTTGGGGAAACGGTATAATTTTAAAACATATATATATATATTATTGATTTTTTACAGAGAGGAAGAGAGAGGGATAGAGAGTTAGAAACATTAATGAGAGAGAATCATCAATCAGCTGCCTCTTGCACACCCCCCACTGGGGATGTGCCGGCAACCAAGGAACATGCCCTTGACCGGAATCGAACCTGGGACCTTTCAGTCCGCAGGCCGATGCTCTATCCACTGAGCCAAACCGGTTTCGGCAGTTATATAATTTTTAAAAACGTTTTTATTGAATTTATTGGGGTGACATTAGTTAATGACATTACATAGGTTTCAGGTGTACGCTTCTATAATACATCCTCTGTGCATTGTATTGTATATTCACCACCCCAAGTCAAGTCTCCTTCCATCACCATTGTCCCCCCTATGCCTTCTTCTACCTCCCCCACACCCGATCCCTCTGGTAATGTCTCTGTGTCTATGAGTTTTTGTTTGTTTGTTCTTTGCTTAATCCTTTTACTGTTTTCTTTCAGCCCCCCAACCCTCCTCCCGTCTGGCAGCTGTCAGTCTGTTCTCTGTATGAGTCTGTTTCTACTAGTATATTTACTTATTTTTCCCCACTATGCAACCTGCTTCACTGTCTTCAGCCTATGGGCAGAGGCCCAGCAATAGTCGAGGCCATGGTTTGCTCTGGCCTGGGGTACTGTAAGAGACACAGGAAGATGGGTCTGCCATACCTCCAAACTCATACATGTGTTTCTACTTTGTTTGTTAGTTTATTTTGTTCATTAGATTACACATATGAGTGAAATCATATGATACTTTTCTTTCTCTGATTGGTTTATTTCACTTAGCCTGATACTCTCCAGGTTCACCCATGCTGCCAGAAAAGGTAAGATTTACTGTTTTAGCAACTTTCAAATATGCAGTACAATATTTTTTTAAAATATATTTTATTGATTTTTTTTTTTTTTTTTACAGAGAGGAAGGGAGAGAGAGTTCTAGAAACATCGATGAGAGAGAAACATTGATCAGCTGCCTCCTGCATACCCCCCACTGGGGATGTGTCCGCAACCAAAGTATATGCCCTTGACTGGAATCGAACCTGGGACCTTTCAGTCCGCAGGCCGACGCTCTATCCACTGAGCAAAACCGGCTTCGGCTATGCAGTACAATATTATTAACTAGTCGCTATGCTGCATATTACATCCCCATGACTATAGATTTGCCCATTCTGGACATTGCATATAAATGGAATCATACAATATGTGACTTTTTGTGACTAGCTTCTTTTGCTTTACATATTTCAAGATTCATCCATGTTGAATCATGTATCAATACTTTATTTCTACTTATGGTGAAATAATATTTTGTTGTATGGATATACCACATTTTATTTATCCATTCATCAGTTGATGGACATTTAGGTGGCTTCCACTTTTTGACTTTTATGAAAAAACTGCTGTAAACATTTACAGATGTCCACCCCCCCCCCTCTCTGCGCCCAGCCCCTGCCCCCTCCCCCAGGCCTCCATCACACTCCTGTGAGAAATGTTTATTTCTCAGTAGAATTGCTGAGTCATGTGGCAACACTGTATTTAACCCATTGAGGAACTCCCAGAATGTTTTCCAAAGCTGCTTCACTATTTTACATTTCTCTCCGTGCCTTCCGCTCTTAATACTTAAGATGAATGACAGTGAAGACAACCAATTACAACTTTTCCTTTCTCAGGCTAGGTCCTGGGAGGTGTATGTCCTCTTTTTAAAAATTAGAAATATTGCAAAATAATAAGGAAACAAACTTTTTCATGACAGTATAAAAGCCTTGTTGAGCAACTTCTTATTTTGCTCCCTCCCTTTTCATAAACTAAGTTATTTCTTGAGAATGGAATGGTACCATGCTCTTTTAATTATAGCCTATCAAGTACATCTTTTTCCCAGATGAAGGAAAGAATGTCATATGGCAAATGACTTAAGAATCTTATCCTGTCCAAGGGTCTCTGGCACATGTGAATAATCCAAGCCCTGCTCCCACAGAGATGCATATGTTTTTTTTTTATTATTTGGGTTTTTAAAATTACATTGGATTTTAAAGTTAATCCTAGACATCATGTCATTTTAACTATAAATATTTCAGTATGCTTCTCTAACAGATAAGAACTTATAAAAATGTGACCATCACATTATTATGCCACATCTAGTTCCTTCATGTCCTCTTTTTTTAAGCACATTTTGACATGGGAACTTATTTTTTTAAGTTGATTTTTAAAAAAATACAAATTTTATTCACCACAGCTATATTTATATGAGCACTGATTTGCAGTGAAATCTCGATTGTGGGCAAACAGTTAAATGATGGAAATATATATAATTATTTTAGAGGGTTGGTGTTGAGGCATTAGAAATTATGGTATGACAGAATAGGTCCAGAGACATGGATACATGGAATGGACTGACAGAACTCGGAGGGGAGGGGAGGGTTTGGGGAATAGGAAGAGATTGACCAAAGAACTGTGTACATATCTGCATGGCCCTGGACACAGACAGGAGTGTGATGAAGACCTGGGAGAGGGTAGGGGCCGGGTGGAGCAGGATCAGAAGTGGGGGGAATAGGGGACATCAGTAATACTGTCAACAATAAAAAATTACCATTTGAAATATTTTTAATAGCCCAAGGAAAAGGTAACGCTAAAATGTTACATGAAAAAAGGCACCATACACAAATACTAGTATATAAAAAGTATTAATAGGATAGATGTTTCATTTACACGCTTGCATGTATACCTAGATGTATGTATTTATACGTAGCCGAAAGAACTGACTGAAATGAAGACACCTTTGCTAAAATTTTAATAGTACTTAATTCAGCTGATTATTATATTTTTAAATTAAGTAAAGTCCATGCTTTATTCGGATTTCCTTAGTTTTTACCTGTTTTCCTTTTTCTGTTCCCGGAACCTATCCAGGATCTCACGTTCCATTTCACTGTCACTTCTCCTTAGGCTCCTCTTGGCTATGGCAGTTTCTCGGACTTCCTTTGTTTTTGGTGATCTTGACAGTTTCTATTAATTTGTCAATGACGGTTCACATTCAGTATTATTTTATATTAACTTCAGGTGTATAACATAGTAGTTAGACATTTATGTAGTTTACAAAGGGATCTGATAAGTCTAGTACCCACCTGGCATCATATACGGTTATTACAATACTAGAGGCCCGGTGCACAAATTTGTGCACCAGTGGGGTCCCTCAGCCTGGCCTGTGGGATTGGGCCGAAATCAGCTCTCTGACATCCCCAGAGGGGCCCCAGATTGCGAGGAGGGATAGGCCAGGCCAAGGGACTCCACTGGTATACAATCGGGGATAGGGAGGTACATGGAAGTTGGCCAACTGGGGAGGGACTGCAGGAGGGCTCCAGGATGTGTCCAGACTGTCTTGCTCAGTCCTGACCCCAGCAGCAAGCTAACCTACCAGTCAGAGCTCTGCCCCCTGGTGGCCAGTCATAGTGAGAGATTGAGCAGCCTTAGCATATCATTAGCATATTTTACTTTTTGATTGGTTGAACAGCTGATAAGTTGATTGGACACTTAGCATATTATGCTTTTATTATATAGGATTATTAACCACATTCTCTATGCTGTACTTTATATCCCTGTGATTATTTTATAACTGCATTTTGTACTTTTTAATACCTTCATTTTTGTTTACCCAGTCCCCCAACCATTTCCCCTCTGGCAATCATCAGTTTATTCTCCTATGGATCTGTTTCTGATTTATTTTGTTCTTTAGATTCCACATGTAAGTAAAATCATCCTATTTGTCTTTTTCCAACTTATTTCACTTAGCATAATACCTTCTATGTCCACACATGTAAGAGTTCATTCTTTTTTTTATGGCCGAGCAATAGTCCATTGTATCGATATATAATGTACCATATCATCTTTATCCACTTGTCTGTTGATGGATACTAATATTACTTTCATATCTTGGCTATTGTAAGTAACTAGAGACCCGGTGCATAAAGTTTGTGCACAGGGTGGGAGATAGGGATGGGGGTGGGGGAGGGGAGGAGTGGAGCGGTGTCCCTCAGCCCAGCCTGCATCTGTTTCCAATCTGGAACTCCTTGAGGGATGTCTGACTGCCTGTTTAGGCCTTATCCCACTGGGCCTAAATGGGCAGTTGGACATCCCTCTCACAATCCAGAACTGCTCGCTCCCATCCACTTGGCCTGCCTGCCTGATTGCCCCTAACAACTTCTGCCTGCCAGCCTGATCACCCCCTTAACCACTTCCCTGCTAGCCTGATCGACGACTAACTGCTGTGGTCACTCCCAACTGCCCTCCCCTGAAGTCCTGGTGCCCTCCAATTGTCCTCCCCTGCAGGACTGATTCCCCCAACTGCCCTCCCCTGCAGGCCTGGTCACCCCTAACTGCCCTCCCCTGAAGGTCTGGTCACCCCTAACTGCCCTCCTCTGCAGACCTGATCGCCCCAACTGTCCTCCCTTATAGGCCTGTTCTTTCCAATTGCCCTCCCTTGCAGGCCTGGTCCCTCCCAACTGCCTTTCCCTGCTGCCCTGATTGCCCCCAACTGCCCTCCTTTTCAGGCTTGGTCCCCCCGCCCCCCTCTGCCCTCCCTTGTAGGCCTGTTCTTCCCCAACTGCCCTCTCTTGCAGGTCTGGTCCCTCCCAACTGCCCTCCTCTGCTGCCATCTTTGACCACATGGGGCAACCATCTTGTGTGTTAAAGTGATGGTCAATTTGCACATTAGGCTTTTATTATATAGAATGCTGCAGTGATTATAGGTAAGCATATATCTTTTTAAATTAGTGTTTTAGATTTCTTCAAATAAATACTTAGAAGTGAAGTTGCTAGGTCATAATGTAGTTCTGTTTCTTACTTTTTGAGATTCCTCAATACTGTTTTCCATAATGGCTGGACCAATATGCATTCCCATCAGTAGTGCATGAGAGTTCCCTTTCTCCACATTCTTGTCAATAAATCAACTTGTTTGTTGATTTATTGATGATAGTGATTCGGAAAGGTGCGAGGTCCTATTTCATTGTGATTTTATTTATTTACTTATTTTTCCTCATTTTTTAAAATTAAGGTATTATATGTGTACATACCTTACCAATCCCCCCCCACTCGCATACATGCCCTCCCTCCCCAGAGTTTTTCGTCTATTGGTTATGCTTATATGCATATATTCAAGTCCTTTGCTTGATCTCTTATCTCCCCCATATCTCCCTCATTGTGATTTTAATTTGCATTACTCTGACAGTGACATTGAGCATCTTCACATTTGCCAATTGGCCATGGGTATGTCCTCTTTGGAGAAATGTCTATTCAGGCCCTTTGCCCATTTTTAGATAGTTTGTGGTTTTGTGTGTGTGTGTGTGTGTGTGTTAATATGTGTTCTTTATACATTTTGGATATTAATCCCTTATTGGATATATCATTGGTGAATATCTTCTCCTAGTTGGTAGGTTGTCTTTGTTGATTGTATCCTTCGTTGTCTAGAAACTTTTTAGTTTATCATAATCCCTTTTGTTTATTTATTTTTTGCTTCCATTGTTTGAGGAGATGCATCAGAAAAAAATATTACTAAGAGCAGTGTCAAAGAGTTTATTGCCTATATTTTCTTCTAGGAATTTTATAGCTTCAGGTCTTACATTTAAGTCTTTAATTCATTTTGAGTTTATTTTTGTGCGCTGGAGAGGGGGGTCCCTCAGCCTGGCCTGCCCCCTCTCAC